ATAATAAAATATTTACAAAAATGTGAGGGGTGTTCTCTCTTCTGTGATATACTGTATATACAGTATATATATATATATATATATATATCTATATCATAAACACCCAATTTAATCTCAGATAATCATTTAAGGATCAAATGTAACATTTTATTATATAATACAAAATAATTTTACACACTATCCACACTATCTCATCAACAATGTATAGAACAAAGGAATAAGACTATGATGCACAGCAATGCGTCTCTCTCCCTTTCCATAAACTGTGCTAGGCTCTCTTTCTTGATCTGATTTATAGGCCTAGTCGCCTATGGCATGATGGACCAGCTTGAATTAATATGCATTTGCTTATGGCTTCCTGTGATAAATTAATACTAGGGGAGACGATAGAGGTCACAGGGGAGTCTCTGTGTTTAGGCACAGTCACTACAGCCTCTGTTTGCTGCTCTGAGCATTTCGTAATTCCTCACTATGATGAAAAGGAAAGTCTCACACAGGGATTTACAGGCTGTGTTTACAATGTGATTATACTGACTGCTGTCAGGGTGGGTTCTCTTGTGGTCTTAATAAAGTAATAGGAATGCCTGATGTGTTTTTTCCCCTATGACTATTCGCATACGGTTTTAAGCGTATTTGTTTTCTCCAGATGGTGAACTTGACAAAGGATTTGTTTTGGAAGACTGGAACCGCAGTGTTTTCGGTGTTAATGATATAATAAATCAGAGTTTTCACTTGCCTTATCTTAGCTTTGTCTAATCAAATAAAATGGTCCTGCGATTCTTATACTGAGCCATTATAGTGCTGTTCTTTTGTCGTGGTCACATACTTCCTAATTAGAGCAGAGCTGCTTGTTTTGCAGGTCGCATCATTGGCCAGCCTATGACAAGGGTTCTGTCCTGGGAGGAGATCCTTAATGACGGAATGCCCCTTTGGATCATTGGAGCAACGACGAGAAACCAACCATGCATCACCTGAGTTCCTGCCCTGGAGGGAATAGATAATACTTAATCTAGCCAACCTCATTATGGATGTCCATGTTTTACTGGCTCCACCGATATAGCTGTATTTTCTATTGCTTGCCTTACTTATGACGAAAAAGTGTCCACCTAATATTTTTTTCTCCCCCCTCCCCAAATGCAGGAGTATGTGTGGAGGTTATTAACTGCTTTAATTCCTAATGATGCCTGACAGGTGCTCTTCTTGGTGAGATTAAGGACTGGGTGGGTTAATGACGAGATTGGCAAGATTGTCATAACTCACAATAGGACCACTGAAGTGATATTATGAAGAGGACTGCTGCTGATATGTGTTTAAATCTGGCAAGGTGGCACCAGGCAATCTATCCGTTTTTTTTTCTTCTTTATGTGATTTTCTCGTCTGCAGGGCCCAGTTTTAGATGTGTGAGGAATGTCAAATATTGCTGGCCATCAAGAACGGAAGGGGAATTGGTAGAAATGAGAATGAGAGAAGGTACAGAAAATAATTATAGAGGCAGAGAGAGAGTTGTGAAAGATGCATGCAGGGCAAATGTGATAATAATAAAAAATAATAATCATCATTTGAAAATACAACAATAATAATAATAATTATTATTATTGTTGTTGTATCTTCAAATGATGATTTTTTTTTTATTATCACATTTGCCCTGCATGTATCTTTCACATATTTCAAACGATTATTATTATTATCTATCTATTTATTTATTTTCAAAAATAAAAGGTTGTTCCAGTACTCTGGTTAGATAGCTATATAATACAAAATGATCTTCAAAATCATTTGCTGTGGGGATTTTAAATGTCTTTGTTTTGTTTTTCTATGGATAAAACTGGACAAAGAAAGCCATTTTCATCTACTAAGGGACCATCAATCATCTCCCAAGTATCTAAGATACCACAATGGTGAACCAGTGAAGCCATGAAAGCTGAGAGCCTTAGTACTGCAATACTGCCCTCTACTGCCAGGTATATTTGCTTCAGTACAAAAGAACAAAGGAAACCTCACAGAAAAGGACACAAAGGATAGTAAGGAATAAGTACAACACCTGACAGGTAGTGATCAAACTCAACCTTAAAGACACCATTGACCATATTTTCTGTTTTTCCTTGGCCTTCTCTCTAGATACTCCTTGACCTTTCAACATTTTTTTGAAACCATAAAAATCTATTCAATTATGTATTTTATTTTTGAATTGGTATCATAAGTACATTTCAAATAATTGCCATTCATTAGCAAGTAAAACAGTACATTTTCCATTATGTGTGAGGGAGATTTTGTACCATACAAAATTAGAATAAAAACCAGTTGAAACCACTAGTCATATGACACACAAGCCATATTAAAGCCACTCTAACCAGCTATTTAATATCCAAACCACACCCATCTCACCTGTGAACCTCTCCTACTTTCTTTCCCTCTCATTCTATCTCTTT